TTGTTCCCACCTTGGCTAACTCAGCAGGGACAGAGCCTGGGAGGTGGCCAATGCTTTCCAGCTGGGATGGCAGAGGCTGCTTTGGACAGCATGCAGAGGAGCCAATACCCAGCTTCCTCATGGGTTATGTAAGGATTTGTAGTAGCTTTCCCCTCGATGGGAGAAAATAGGAACAAGATGGGATTTTAGGAGCTGTGTTAATAATGAATGACAGAATGGTGGTTAATAGATGTCTATCTGTAATTCCATTATACTACAAGCGCAGGGGAAACTTCATTTTATGCAGGATTCTCATTTTTGCAGAGCTGTAATGCAGCGTGCAGTTAAAATTAGGCTGTCTGGTTAATTGTCAGTGTGCAGTGAGAATCGCTTCAGTGCAGGATTAGACATGCCTCTGCAGGGAAGCTTTGCAGAAGGGCCCAGGGAGGGACAGCAGCTCCACCGGGGCCCCTTGGAAGAACCCCCCCAGGAGAGGGGTGCCTGTGGGGAGGGGAGGTGGGGAGAGGATCTCCTCTTCCTCCCTGTCTGCTCACATGTAGTGGGACCACCTGAGGCACCTGTTCCTGGAATATCCCTAGGCTGTCCTGTGGGACAGCAGCAGAAGAAGCTCTCCTTGTGCAGTGATGCTCTCTTGCGCTTGGCCAGGTTAAGGGATGAGCAGGAACATCCCCATAGCCTCTCAGCACCAAGACAGTACAGTTGTCAGGAGCCGGGACCCGTAAGCCTTTCTCATACCTACAGGATGTATTCGGTACAGAGAAATGATCACAGCAAGGTGGAAGCACTCTAGAATATTCAAAAGAAAGCTGGAAGAAGTCCCTGGGACCACCCTTTTCTCATCTCTTCCCTGCTATCCTTTTACTACCTCCTTCCTTGTGTCAGAAATTTATCTTTCAGAAATTGCCTGCTGAGGAAAGCAGGTTTGCAAAGGGAGAGAGGAGGGAAGAGTGAGTGACGTTTGCCATAAGCCTCTCTTCCTCCAGATCAGAGCCATATAGCGTATGCCAGAATGACAAGTCAAGCTGTTGAGGACTTTCCATGGGACCCCAACCAGCTTTTGTTTAAGAACAGTTCAAGTGTTTATTTGGAAGGACTGCAAAGCTTTCCTTAGGATCCATTAATGAAGCTTAACTCTCCAATCTGAACGTGAGCACTGATATGGAATCTCAGCTGAGAGTTCCAAATTCCCAACCACTGACTAACCTAGCAGCTGTGCTTGAACACCAGCACCATCTTATCCTCCTGGGAAGGAGGAGGAAGGGGGCAGAGATGTTAGATACATGCTGGCCAGATTCCCTGTGAAGTCAGTGGGAGCTTTGCTTGTGTACAAACAGCGTGCCCAGATGTAAAAATGAAGGAGACAGGGTGCTAGGAAAATATTTTCCATGCACTGTGTGTGTGCAGAGCAGCCTGCGACATCTAATGAGTGCAGAAGGCAGGAACTATTACAACATAACTCTCAGATACTCTGCTCCAGCGTCTGTGCAGCTTTCTGTGCAGCTCTGAGCAGGGTTTTCCCTTTGCATCTACTTGCAGAAAATAAATTCTCAAAGTTGCCTGAAGGTGTGAAAAGATTTCTGTTAAGCTTTGAAGAAATGGCTCACCAGTTTGGGTGCGTGGAATGTGAGGCAGCACTCAGCTGCCTGAGGAGATGCTTTGGAAAATCTACCTGGAAGCTCACCTGTCTGCATGCGTACCTGGTATCTTTGTAAAGCTGATCTTTTCCACCACCTTATCTGCTGTTCTGTTCTGACCTCCAGGTACCTGCCTTGGCCTCTGTTACCTAAAACATGGAGCCTTTCTGTTATGGAGAAGCGCATTACGCTTTACTTTACTAAGATGAGCGTCTGAGGCAAGGTGTGATGTGAAACAAGCCACCTTCTCATAAAATTTGGAAGCCCATGCAGCAGTTTTATTACGTTTGATCTTTTTAGAAAGCACTATATTAAGAAATTAGTATTTAGAAAACATGAATGTAATTAAACCCAGCCAGTACAAACTGCTAGTAACTGGGATCTCATGCTTTGCTGAAGTTTGTGAACAGACAAAATGTGCAGTTAGCTGATTTTGCCTGCAACACGTAAGTGCTCTTCCCTTCTCCCCTGGCCACCTACGTCAAGATCTACAATGAGATCAGATATTTAGTATGAGATGGATGCTGGTGAGGCAAGGTAGTTGTAGGTTCTTGTATTTGTAAACAGTGTTCATCACAGGCCTCCAGGAATGGCTAGGTTTGAGTAAATGCTGAGCCTTCCACAGACAGTTCCTGAATGTTCATTGCATTCATGTGCCCCATATAGTCTAGAGAAATCTTGTTTTCTGCAGGGTTTCACTTAACATTCATGTATCACGTTCCTAGTACTAGTACTTGCCCAAGTGTAATATAGTATAAGGATTATGTAAATCAGTGCTCATATTAAGATGTTACTCAGACGTACCGTTTGGTGTCCAATATACATGTTTACAGTAATCATCACTATTACAGGTCTAAGATGTATTAGGATGACAAATTTTGTGATGTAAACTTTTGACAAAATGGCAGTGTGAATCTAAATCTTTGCAAAGCTAGGATACAGTTAGCAAATGAAAGCAGCGTACACAATTGTAAGGGAGGCAGCATCATTTGTTGCCTGGCTATACTAAGGATTGCTTTAATATACCATTCACTTGTTAATGATGCTATCAATTATTTTACTGTAAATTAGCTATTGTGAGCTTGAGATCTTTTTGCAGTGTGTGTCATTAGGTCACAGGAGCATAAATCAGACTCCCATCTCTTTTTACATCCATAACCATAACGTATGGCTTTTATTAGAAAATGTTAAGTGTCTTTTAATGTCTTCTTAATGGACAGTGTGTGCATGTGTTGATGATGAAAGCCATCTTCCTTCATACAAAATATTAATGCATAGAGCTTGTGTCTCCATAGATACAAGGTAAGGAATGGTATTTAACCTATGAAATATTCAGTATATACATTAAGTTCAGAATTTGTGTTTTCTATAGTTAACAATCCTTTAGGGAAGGAAGGAGTTAAAGGGAAATCAGGGCTTGAATTCTACCGCGTATGCATATGTAACTGTGAATAAATGATATGGCAACCACTGGAAAAAAAAATCTGTCTATAAAATGCCTGTTTCTAAATGGAAATACCCCATCCCCATAGAGAATTAGGAAATGGGATTTATATCCTCCTAGGATTCCAGCCTGCAGATCACAAAGAAAGACTCATTATCAGTTATATATTCTGCCCTCTAAACTAAAATACTGGAATGCTTCCAAGAAAAACGGTGTTTTAGTCTCTGTAGCCTTTTCATTGGAGCAGCTTTATCCATTTAGCCTTTGGACCATTCCACAACATCTTGGACAAGAACACTGCTTTGACCTGAGATCTATTTACTGACAGATTCCTGGCCACCAGAGATCTGCTCTTCAAATTAACGCCTGCTAATGTTGGGCTTGATTAAAGGAAGCTAATGAAGCCATTTGAAGGATGCCCTCCAGCCTTCCCTCTCTGTGTCCATGTTCCCTTGGCAGAAATGGGGGATTTGAAAGCTGCAATTCAACAGCATCATCCTTTCATGTTGTGGTAAATATTTTATTATTCCTTTACCCTCCATGCTGTTTAAAAGAATTCATTTAAAATATTCACTTCTTTGTTCAAGGAGGAAACCTCCAAAGGGTATGCAAACAAGAACGTTTAGAAATGCACCAAGATGTAAGAGCAGGCTCTGCTCCAGCTTTTCCCATTCATTCAGGCTGCAGACCTGGCGGCTCCCTGACGGAGATCTCTGCTCAGCTCAGCAGCCTTCAGCAGCTGCTGTGCCCCCCCATTCATGTCCAGGCAGCTTCCCTATCACTGTGCCCTGTGTTTCCACTTCCCTCCATCCATCCTGTTTGCTCCTTAATCTGCTGACTCCTTTGATCCTCCTTAGGAACAATGTTTATCCTCCCACACTGAAGCACCAACCGTCACCATGGAGGGCCAGCAGCAATTTTATACCTCCATAAAGGTACCTTTAGGAGAGAAGTGACACCTGTCCAAGCTGATGCCTTTCTGAAGGCACTGTCCTCCACCTATCCCTCCTGCTTACCAAGACAGATGCCTTAGGGGTTAATCCTGCTCTCTTTCTCTGAACTTGATCTTTTCTTTACATTTGACTGTACATGCAGAATCAGGCCCTAATCAATGTCACCATTCCCATATGTAAAAGCACCAAGGCACTCCTTAGAGGAGTTGGGTGCCTATTTAGGGCCATCTTTATTGCCATCTATGTGGTGAACCGATGTGTGCATTCCCTTTCCAAAACTGCCGGCACCGGGAGGGAGAGGTTGGCCTTTGGTAGCCAGGTGAGAAGCCTCCCAGACAGTGTCCTTTCACCATGAATGAACCCTCTCCTCTGATTAATACTTCGCATTTCCCTCAAGGGAAAAGACAGAGTGGGGAGGTAAGTGAGCAACTGAATTATCCATTCTCGGAGAAGCAGGATCATAAATATTTAACATGATACGTATGAGAAAAGAGAAGGGAACAGACAGCCTCTCCAGTCCAAGCTAAGCAGCTCTCCAAGCTCCCTGTTTCCATGATCCCTTTTCCATCTCATACAGGAAGAGGGCTGGAGTAGATGCCTCTCTGCTGGGGCATAGCTGACTGTGGAAACCTGTGTATGGAGGGAAATACCTGGTGTAACAGAGATCTCCGTCCTCCCACAGGACTGCCTGGCCTATGAATGGGACGTGCCCCATGCTGTGTATTACTAGGAGCCCGCTGGAGAACAAGGGTCTCAGAAGCTCACGTAAGTACATGAGCTCATGCCACGGCATCCAGTTGGGCCCCACACATGGGGCTTTCTTGAGAGTGTGGCCTGCATCCCCAGGCCCTGTATACAGTTGTTGGGACGCCTGCTCTACTCTGCTTGTGGCACTAAGTCTGGTGCCACCGGGCGGAGGTGGGACCGAGGGGAGAAGCGTTTTGTGAGGGTGCTGGTTGCATAGCTTACCCTTGCATATCTGGAGGAGTAGGGGTCCTCAAAGAGCGCCCAGATGCGAGGCTGCCACCGTCTCCAGAAGCCTCCAGACCTGCCATCCGGGGAGTCACTGAGCGCGAGGCGTTTTGTCATCTCCAGCTCCTCTTCGCCATCGCCAGAGTCTCCGGTGCCATCTATGTCTCCGTCCTCGGCGCTGCTATCCAGGGGCGCCCCACCAAAGCTGTCCAGAGCCTCTTCGGCGTCGCGGTGCTGCCGGTAGGTCATCCAGCAGCAGGGCTCCACGTCGGTCTCATCGATGCCCCAGAAGGCCAGCTCCTCCTCGTACAGGGGCCCGCACACGTCGGCGGGGCAGTGCAGCTTGCCGGTACGGTAGTAATTCAGGATGTGGGCGAAGACGCCCGGGTGCCGGTCGAAGAAAAACTCATCCGTGCGGGGGTCATAGTCGAAGTGGCTGTGGGCATCGGGCTCGGCGATCCAGGCCAGCCGCGTGCCGGGCAGGGTGCGCAGGGTGCTGCGGTAAGTCTGGTGCCTAGTCCCTCCCACGTTGATCACGATGCGGTCGCTCTCGTCGCCCTGGCCCATCTCGTCTCTTATCAGGCATGTCGCAGCCTCATCCAAGCGAGCACGGAGGGCGGCGAGCCCGCGAGGGGACGGCTGCTCGGCGGCAGGCGCTGCGATGCCGAGCCCCGCTCCGGGTCAGGGCCCCGCGCCCGCTCGGCGCCCGCGGCCGGGGACTGCCGGGGCCGCGCCGCCGTCGGCTCAGTCAGGGGCGCGGGGGCCGCGGAGGCTGCGGCCGCGGCGGTGGGGCGGGAAGGGGCGGCGGGGACATGCTCCGGGAGCTGCGGAGGCTGGGGAGCGGGGACGGGGCGGAGGGGGAGGTCCCTGCCGGTTGGATGTGGCCAAGACACCCAGGAGGGAGGGAGGGGAAAAAAAGAAATACTAAGGAAAAAAGAAAAATCGCAGCAGCGGCGGTGCCCTCCGGCGCGCGGCAGTGGGGCTGCGGGGTCGGAGCCGGCGGCAGCCGGGGGCGGCGGGGCTGCGCCCGCCCCGCCTGGCGGGGGCGGAGGGGCCCCGCTGGTGCTGAACGGACAGCGCCGCGCCGCCGCTTCCTCCTCCTGCGCTCCTCGCTGTGCAGAGCGCGCTGCCTGGCCGGGGTCGGGGCCGGTGCGGGCGGCGGGGACCCGCGACGGCGCCGCCGCTCCTCCCGCTGCCGCCGCCGCTCTCCGGCGGCTCGGTGCAG